GCTATGTGTGCTGTGGTAGATCGTTTCCAGCTCCCATATCAATATTATGAGATAGGTGAGCTAATCATTGGAGCAATTGTTACTCAGTATGGCTGCATATTTGGAGAAATATCATTTAGTGAACACCCCACAACAAAATTTCTAGATGAACTGAAAGAATTTGCGTAAGGATGTTTTTTCCCTCTGCATGTGTTGTGTCAGATCATAAGTACTAAGGAAAAGGTAATGGAAGGGAATGCAGATGATACAATGGTGGTTGGTTTAATCCCAGCTGGAGAGGGGGAGGCGGCCTATAGGAAGGAAATTGAGCAGTTGGGGGAGTGGTGCAGGAAAAACAACTTACTCCTTAACTTAAAGAAAACAAAAGAGATTATTGTGGCCTTTAGGAAATGTAAATTGAATATTCAGCCATTTATTTTTGAGGGGAAGTGTGTGGAACAGGTCTTGGTGTTTCGATTTCTGGGAATGGAGTTGAGAGATGACCTAACCTGGGGATAAAACAGCAAAGACCTGATGAAGAGAGCACAGCAGTGGTTATATTTTCTGAGAATCCTCTGGAAAAACAATCTCTCAAAGGACCTGTTGATGGCATTTTACCATTGTACTGTGGAGAGTGTATTAACTTATGTTCTGTGTGTGTGGTTTGGGAGCTGCACGGCCAGGGAAAAAACAATGCTGTCCAGGTTGTAAAGAATGCAGAGAGAATAATTGGGTGCACTCTAACCACCTTAGATCAAATCTATGCTGTCAGGTGCCAGAAGAAAGCTACAGAGATAGCGCAGATTAGTACGCACCCTGGAAACGATCTCTTTCAGCTTCTGCCTTCTGGAAGAAGGTATAGGGTTATAAAGACCAGGACTAGCCACCTGAGAAAGACTCTCCTCCCTGGAAGAGAGGGGAGTGGTTGTGGGCGGGAGCCCAAGCACGGCCCCTAGCAGGGGGCATTAGCCCCCTGCCTCCTCCTCTCACCTGGCTGGCGCCCACGCCCCCTCGGCAGGCATCCAACCAGGTGCCTTCGAGGGGGCGTGCTCAGCAGCCTTTTGCGGCGGCGCCAGCCTCTCCTCGGCCTAATTCTTCTCCGTCCTCTCGTCATCACAGCTAGGAGTCATCACAGTCATCACAGGGAAGAGCCACGAGGTTTGGAGTCGGGGGGGTCTGTGTGTGTGGAGGCTGCCTGGTTCCTGGCTTGCCTTTTAACTTTAGGAGGCTGGGTAGGTTAGGCATTGGAATTATGTGTTGTGATGTGTCGAAGGGCTGGGTGTGGCCATCGCCTATGCCTTCAATTTTTGGGTATTCCGTTAAAGGAATCTGGCGGTCGTGTACTCCGTCCGATGCCTGCTTGGCGGGAGGCCATGGCACGACCGCCGGTGACATCAGGGGAGAGCCTATAGTTGGATTAGCATCAACAGGCTCCACCTACTGGTGAATAAACCCCCTTGTTTTAGACATCCAATGCCTAAGCCAATACCTTTTCACTGCTGTAATCAATAAAGTTGTGGCCTTTTCTTGCCCATTAACCTTATATCAGGTGTCCTTGTGTATTTATTTCACATCGCGGGGGTCGGGTCCTCGAACCACAAACAGTTTCTACGCAAATGCAATTCTGGCTCTAAACGTAGCATAAGGAGTCTCTATAGTATATTGTATTTTAAAATGGGGTTTCAGAGTTTTTAGGGGTTTTTGAATGTCTTACATAGATTTTCAGTTTCATTGTTCTATATGGGACAATGACAATAAAGATATTGTATCGTATCATATCGTAGTGTATTGTAGTGGTTGTAGACTAGGGAAGGGGAGCGAATTTGTGGCCCTCCAAACTACAATTCCCATAGTCCCTGATGATTGACAAACTGTCTGGAGCTGATGGGAGTTTGAGCCCATCCACATCTAGAGAATCATAGGTTCCTTCTCCCTGTTGTAAACACATATGTAGGTCCAAAGCAAATTCATAATTACCTTTGAGTAACTTGTACAAATTTAATTCTTAGGAAGGCATGAAGAACAGTATGATATAATGCTATAATCTTAGGAAACTGTATAAAAGCCTAGTATGTTCTAATCAAAACAGCTTCCTACCATCAAAAACAATTTGCCTTATACTTGCTGGCTATTCAGCTTAAACATCACTGATCAAACTTTGGACTTATGAATGCTTTGCTACTCAACTGTTTAGATCTAAACTTTGTAATAAAACATGCTTAAGCACTATTTCTTGTTCTAGGCTAATATTTACTTTTGATATTTATGTCTTATTTATTTATCAGTCAAAGTGAACCAAGAATTCAAAGATTTCCCTACTCGAAACTAACATTGAAGAAGTGGTAATCAGTTACAGGCAATGAGCCTAGGACTCCTTAGATGTATATAGTCTTTCTTCTATGTATTACACTTTATATTTGCTTATTATTTTGGTTTGACTTGGTTTGGCATGTTGTTGTTTCTCATTTCTCCTCATCATGCTGATTCTATATTCCACATGTCACTTTGTCACATCATAGAATCATAGTATTTTAGAGCTGGAAGGGACCACGTGGAACCCCTGCAATGTAGGAATCTTTTGCCCAACATGAGGCTCAAACCCATGACCCTGAGATAAAGAGTCTCATGCTCTACCTGACTAAGCAATCCTATTATTTCAGGTAATTTATCACTTACTTTTTTCTCCCTCCTCTCAGTCTTTCCATACTTTCCAATCCAGACGTATTATTATTTCTTGTATCTTCCCTTTAGTTCATTTCTTTCTATCTCTATTTTATTCCATAAAACACCCAAGATTTCTCCCCATTATTTTTCTCAACCAAAGAAACATACTGCATAATGCTCATATCCATTCAATTATATGGGGCACATTTTAAATGACATTTATTTATTTATATTGATTGATTTAAGAATGTTCTTTAATAGTAATTTCAGCTGTATCTCTGATTTTGCTGTTCAAAGAGATCCATTGCTCTTGGAGTGTGACTTCAGAGGTGGATTTAGGTTAGTACTACTGGATCCACCAAACTGAGCACCAAGCTTAGGGGGCATTGGAATGCATCACAACTAGAAATAGTGTATTGGTGACTGGATGATAGATTTTACAGAAAGTTGGGTTCAATGTGGCTTTCTTCAGCAGCACATTCACAGTTACCACAGTCTCTGAAACTCTGAAAGTAGATATTGAATACTCAGTGCTGGGGTGTTGGGTGGTGTAGAGGCAGGGTGACAGCTGTCAGACTGATCTGTGTGCGATTGCCTTCATCAGAAAGGGTCCAGAGCCACTGAACAGGCTGGACGTTTATTTTGGATTGATGCTGGGCATTCTGCATGAATATGTGGCTCAAGATGACGGGGTTGTTTCTTTTGCCTCTGCTTCTCTTGTTTCCGCGACTCCCTCAGACTGACTGTGAGTCACATGCTGTTATGCATACCATGGTTGATTCCCCCCACTTCCCACATCAATATTATCAGTCAGGGGACCTAACGATTGGATTTATGGTTACTCAGTATGGCTACTTATCTGATGAACTATCATTCAGGGTACATCCCACAAACGCGTTTCTGGAAGAACTAAAACTTATGTAAGGAGTATGTTTTCTCTGCGTACTTCAGGCCAGGTCATAAATATTACTCCTTGAAAAAAGTGGTTTAAAAATGTCCTTAATGAATTCTGGGTATGTTATACACATATATCAAGAAGTAAGGCTTCGCACCTGCTTGATCTACTCAACAAACCCCGGCTATCTCCTCCATGTTAACACACAGGGTTTCCCCTTCTCATTTCCCCTTTCCAGTTGCATTTCTGAAGCCACTTCTATCTTCTGTAATGTAGCCCTACTTTGCACTGATTCTCACCTTCGTCTTCAAAACCAGGTTTGTGTGTGAGGGGAGGAGAAGCTGCTTTTCTCAGCTAAAGAAGTCTGAGTAAATGGAGGTGAAGTGAGGCTGAGAAAAAAGTGGTAGTTTTAAAACAACATGTGGGGAGGGGGGATACCGAGGGATTTTTAATAAGTAAATAAATCAAACCAACCACTTTTAGCCAGGAGAAATAGCAGATATGAGTAGAACACAGAAGCTAAGACTGAAAATCTAATGCAACAGAACTTTTCCAAGGTGTCTTCTCACTGGACTCATTTTGTTTTAAACTGCCACTCCCCCCCTCCCATTTTGAACCCTGTTCAGTCTACTGAAACCTCTGCTTTCTTTTAAAATCACCAGATAGTTATTTCTGTGTTCCCTTCTCATTGCACTCAGACTTCTCTGTCTTTCATTCCTCAGCTGCTTCTTGTGTGAGACATAACTAATGTGGACCTCCCATATATTGCATAGTACTCAAACCTATGTCTTTGGCAAATTTCCCTCGCAGTTCCTTGCAGCCCTGCTTTATTGAAGCTTCTACCAGTGCTTAAACCACCGCTTTCCCCCTTGCAGTGTTTCTCCCTTCTTGCTGCCTTGCCAGGGCCACTGCTGTTGTGCAACCTGCCTTCAGCTTTGTTTCCCTATCCAACTCTGGTTTCATGCGAAGCCAGGTTTTCTATGTGGCATTACAAATCTTCCATAGGGGCTGAACAGTGGCGTGTGTGTGTGTGTGTTATGTACTGAGTTGAATGGGATCCAAAATGCAGCAGTCTGATTGGTCCTAGAACAATAGGATTCAGAATGCAGCAGTCTGATTGGTCCTAGAACAACGCAGCAGTATGATTGGTCCTCAGGAGCCACCCAATCCAGCTCCAGGTGGAAGTGAATCCACAATCTGATTAGCCTACAGGAGAATCCCGGAATTAGCCAATCAACTCCAAGTATATTTCAATTAATAAAAAGGGAAAATGTAGCCACAGATATTATACAAGTGATCAATCTTTATTAATTGCAAAGTTTTCCAACATTTGGCTATTATCGTGCTAGCTGCTGTTAGTAAATTTGTTATTAAATCCTAACTTACAAAGCGGGCAAGATTCTTTCCTAATATTCCTTCCAATTAGATGTAATCTAACAAATATTTGAAAAACTGATGGTTGATGAAGAGCTATATATCTGCCTTAATTAACTCTTTCTTCAGTTCAAGGACAAAGAACTACCAGCGTATCTTGTCCTTGGCATTTGCTGTCAAGGAGATAAATGAGAACCCTGAACTTCTACCAAATGTCAGCCTTGGCTTCCACATTTATGACAGTTATACAAATGCAAGGATGACTCATCAGAACACGCTGAAACTTCTTTCCAGTCATAAAACTGTAGTCCCCAACTTCAAATGCAATAAGCAGAAGAATCTGATGGCCGTCATTGGAGGACTCGACTCTGAAATCTCCCTTTACATGGCTACTCTTTTAGGCATCTACAAGATTCCACAGGTAAAATATTTGGATTGGCTATGCAGCTTTCCCGCATGGAAACCTAGCCAGATGGGTGGGATATAATTAATAACTATTATTATTATTATTATTATTATTATTATTATTATTATTGGATAATATTTACCTTTCTACTGTTGGCCTTTTCAGTTTTTTTTTGTTCTTTTTGGAAAGAAAGTGTCAGTCTGCAAACAATGAATGTGTGGTTAACACAACTGTGTAATTGGCCCCCTATTCATGCAAGAGGAAAAGCGAACAATTAATCCCATTCTTTATAGGAAGGCACAAGTGGTAACCTTCTCTCCCTCCCCAAAACAACTACAAATGGAATTGCCACCACTCAAGGGTATGTTTTGCAACTGGGCCAGAGCATCTCCCAGTGGCAATTGTGACACCTGGCATAGAATGGGTAGTCAAAGATAGAATAAGAAACCTAGCAACTGACTAAATGATCAAATAAACGAAGTGTTCCTTGTTCATTTAAATAAAATAAACAATAAAATACTAGCAACCAAAGAAATGGGATCCTCATAACAGAGGGTTCTGGTTGCGTGTGGGACCCAAGAGCTCACCTGATAGGGTTAGAATAGGGGGGGGAGTAAGAGGTCCTGGCCATCCCCCTGGGATCACACCAGGTGATTTTAGCTGACAGCCAGTGAGTGGCGTGATCCCAGGGGCTTTAGAAACGGCAGTGTGACGCAAGGAGGGGCACTTGCTTCGCACTCTTGAACACCCGCCCACCCTCCCTAGTTTAGATACAGTTGCTTGGCCTTACTTTGGTTTGGGTTGCCTGTTTTGGAACAGGGGTTGGGTAGGAATTTTTCCATTTGACAGATTGCCTTTCGGCATTTGGTTTTCACCTACCCCTTGGCAAATCGTTACAACTTGTAAGGTGGCGGTTAGGCATTGGCTCAGTTGGATTGTGTGGGGGGGGGAGGTGCGGCCATCACCTGCCCCTCTAGGAACTGTGTATTCCGTTAAAGGAATCTGGGCATCCTGGATCTCGTCCGAAGTCCGCTTGAGGGGCTAGGGCCATGCCAGGACCACAGAAACCTCGGGGTGAGCTTAGGTTGGTCCTCATCGACCTAGCTCCCTCGTTTGGTTTACCCCATTGGATGATCACCCTGAGAGGTGGAATCAGTGATAGTGGGGAGTCAATGCCTAAGCCAATACCTCTCACGTGATTGTATTTCAATAAAGTTGTGGCCAAAACTTTGCCCCAAAACTTAAACTAATATAAGTGTCCGTGTGTATTTATTTTGGTTTTTTTAATGATATTTATTACTTTTTTAACATTTCCAACACAAACAAAAAAACAAAAAGGAAAAAAAGAAAAAACAATGCAAATACAATACAAAAACGCTACATAAACTAAAAAAAACAAATAAAAACAGGCAAAAACAGTTTAAAATTACCTCAAACATTTTCAATATCTTATATTTCATTCACTTATTTCCAGCGACCTCCTCCCACCTCCCTTTTTGCATTCCACTTCTATTATTTGTTTCAGCAATTCCTTTCCATCTTACTCTGTTTTCTGTTCTATAATTATCTTTACACATTCTTGCCATACTTTTCCTTAATTATTCTATTAATCTATTTATACCTAATTCCTTATGACATTTCTGCTAAAGCCATATAATTTCATTCCAACATTTTTGTAACATTCCTTAATTTTACAATATCTCTATAAATGGTCTTTAAACTTTTTCCAATCTTCTTCCACCGACTCTTCACCCTGGTCTCGGATCTTGCCAGTCATTTCCGCCAATTCCATATAGTCCACCAATTTCATCTGCCATTATCCAACGCTTCAATGTTTTCAAAAAACAACCATTCTCTCAACCAGCAAAAAGCAGGTGGTTCACAGCAAAATTTAAAGGTCTGGCAGGGCAGGTCCTCCTCCTTCTTTGGCATCCATCAATATCTTAAGTTTTACTCGAGGCTTCCTGCCCTGCCAGACAACTCTAGGAGCATCCCTCTGCCACCTCCTGAAACCCTCCATCCTATCCAAAGCTTGCAGTGTTTGAAACAAAAGCAACATCCCCAACAACACAGCAGCCCTCATCCCTACCACAATAACTCGACCCAACAGTGACAACTTCTGATTTGTCCATATTTCCAAATCCCCCTTCTCTTCAATCCAGCATCCTTCACGGTTATCCTTAAGCAGATTCACATTTTTGGCAGTCATGTCAACCCCCAAATACCTCTCTTTCTTAACCAATGTTAGTATCGCCTCCTGAAACTCTGTCAAGCTTTCCTTTTCCAATTCAGATAGGGCTCTGGTCCTCAAATTCATCCGTTCTTCTTCAAGTTCAATCCTAACGAATGTCAACTTATGTTCGTCAGGTTGACTTTGTATGGATGGGACTCTCCTCTCCAGTTGTATTATTTTAGATTCAGCAGCAAGGGTTTTTCCCCTGACTTCATCTGCAGTTTGCCATATCGAAGTAGATTCCTGTGTCAGTTTCTGAGTGGTTTCTGAATTAGTATTCACCTTTTGTCCCAAGTTATTTAAGCTTTCTACTGTTGAGTCAATTTCAATATTTGCAACATCCAATTTCACATTTCTCGCATCTAGTTTCTTGTGGAGTTGTTCCAGCGAATCGTTTATTTTCAATAATGCAGCCACTAAGGCCTCCTCTGTCGACATCCCGCCTGTTTTTCCTTTCCGTTTGCCATAACACTTAAAAGATTCAAGGTCAATTCCAAAGTCTCACACTTTCTTATCTTGCAGCTGGAAAATCCCCTAGCCCAGCTCCTACCAAGTAACCAATTTCAAAAGCTTCCACTAGGGGAAAGCGAGTTGTATTTTTATCGGTCAGTATGTCCTCTTTTAAACACAGTTTCAATAATCCAAAATTAGTTTCAATTTTCAGTTACTTTCCTCCTTTTTTAATAAAGTTCAGTAAGATTGTTTCAATTTTCCATTACTTTACTCCTTTTTAAGTGCAGACGAAGACAATGGAAACAATGTATCTCTCTTATGCTAGCTGTCACCGAACGTTCTATTCGCTGTCAATGAACCTTCCAAGTCACGTCGATTTTACTGGCAGCCCGTTTCCAGGTTCGGAACAGTGGTATTTTAACTTCCTCACTCACTCCTGCAGGGATATACAATCCACAGCCTCCCCCCTCTTCTCCTGCTTCCAAGGGGGGGGGGGTTAATATTTTATACTGATGAAAATTTAGTCCATTACAGTGGGCTTTCCAAGACTTTAGCTTGCAGCCTCTTTGCCTCAGTCTTATTTACAAAAAGGGGAGGTGGACTTCCTGTTTTGAATCTCCCCATTTCGGTGCCAAAATAAAACGTTTAAAAATCCAATTCTTCACTCTACTCACGGGTAGTTGCTTTAAAATCAAATTGTCCACAGGAAAAAGTCAGCGCTCTCCAGCAACAGCTATGCGGCTTCGCTTCGTGGAAGAAGCAGTCGATCTGAAGCACCGCGCCGCTCACCCCACATCGCTCCGGATCCCCGAAACCGGGTTTCCCTGCGAGTAGGGGAGGTGCAAAAGGTGCCCGCCGAATCCCACGTTCACAGGCTTCAACCACCTGTGATTTTTAGTGGGTCTCCGCCTTCGCCGTGGCGGCCAGACCCAAATTTCCACGAGGCAAATTCCTCCCAATCAGAGGAATTCCGCCATTGCCGGTGGCGCCAACCCGGAAGTCTCCCGTGTGTATTTTATTTTGGGGGTGGGTCTTGGGGCCTCGAGACGCAAATGGTACAAGCAGTAAAGTACAACTTGGTAATAGCTGGGATAGCTGGGATAGCAGGCTTGTTGGTTTTTGAATGTCTGATGTAGATTTTTTCAATTTCATTGTTCTGTATGGGACAATGACAGTAAAGCTTATCGTATTGTATCAAATGATGGTCAGTGGCAAGTCCCTGCTATATAGTCTGAAGACATTTGTTTTCTCTATTATGACTTTTCAGGAGTATCTTATGTCACCCCCCACTCACCCAATGAACTCTTGAAAAAAAGACTATCCTGACATTTTACTGAAATTTGCATGTCTTTTTACTTAGATTGCCTATTGTGTAATTGCTCCAGTGACTGATGTTAAAACCCATCTCCCTTCATTCTACCGGATGGTGCCCAATGAAGAATATCAGTATGAAGGGATAGCTCAGCTTCTTTTGCATTTTAAATGGACGTGGGTTGGAATCCTCACAATGGACGGTGATAATGGAGACAAGTTTTTCCAGACCTTGATTCCAATGCTTTTGAAACATGGAATCTGTATAGCCCTCAAGGGAAAAATTCCAGCCACCTCTCAAGCGGCAGATACACATACTTCCTTTGATTCCATCTTAGACGAAGCTATTTATCTATCGAATGCCAGTGTTCAAGTGTTGATTGTAAATGCAGAAACTATTACTATCTCTTTTTTGTTAATTAAAATATATGCATATGCAGCACAGGAGTCTATTCTACCATTAGCTATGGGGAAAGTGTGGATCATGACAGCCCAATGGGATTTCTCAGCAGACACAATACAGATGGAGATGGATATGGATATGCAAGTCTTTGATGGTGCCTTCACTTTTGCAATACACTTAAATGAAGTGAGGGGGTTCAGAAAATTCCTGCAGACTGTTCGTCCTAAATCAAAAAATGAAGATGGGTTTATTTTGCTCTTCTGGGAAAAGGCATTCAACTGCTTATATTCTGATTCTATGGATGGCATGGAAAATAATAATAATGCCTGTAGTGGTGAAGAGAATTTGGAGAGCCTCCCTGGGACACTCTTTGAGATGAGTATGACCGGCCAAAGCTACACCATCTACAATGCAGTTCATGCCATAGGACATAGTTTACATAAGATGTACTCAGCCAGGCGGCAACACAGAGCCATGCCAAACAGAGGTAGAGTGAGTCCAGTAAAAGTACAACCTTGGCAGGTAGTGTTTCTCATCCAAAGTTAATTTCTTTGAAAGCTGTATGCACATATCTGCTAACAATGTCCTGTGTTCCTTGAATACTTTGCCCACTCACGTGACTTCTTTACTCCTTGTAATTTTTTATTAATAATACAAAAGGTGGATAGAATTCCAGAGTTAAAAGAGAACAGGAAAAAACTGCTGGTTTATTTATTTGGAACAAACAACCCTATTGTTCCTATAATAGGGTGTCTCTACCCTATTATAGAGACACATAATTATTATATTATATAATCCATATTAGGGCAACATATTCATTAGGCCAACTAAAATGTTGCAAAACATGATCGCCTAAGAAAGTATTAGCCTACTATGGATCTGGAGCATTGGTTTTTGTTTTTGTAATGGTCCCACACAAGTATCTTTCTTTCTTTTCTTTTTTTGTTATTTTTATGACTTTACATATAATGGTTTGGTGTTGTTAAGTATAATATTTTACTGCTTAAATATGCTGGATGTGATTAATTCTACAAGTGCCAATTATATGCACAAATTGAAGAATTTTGCAAAAAGAAACAGTTATCTCACTATTTCCTCTCCATTTACATCAGAAGACAAGGAAGGCATATATACTTCCCTATACCCCGAGGTTCACAGAAAAGATCAACATAAAAGCCACAATATATTTAATCAAAATAAAAATAGCACCCCAATAACACCTCCCCATTGGTCCCATTGGTGCACTGGTGGGAATTGTTATTTTGGAAGATGTTCAGTAGGGCCCGTTCTGGAGTAACCTCTGGTACCTGTTTAGTCATTTTGCTTACCGTATTTTTCGCTCCATAAAACACACTTTTTTCCTCCTAAAAAGTAAGGGGAAATATCTGTGCGTCTTATGGAGCAAATGTGTGGTCGATCCCTGGCTCCCTTTCTGGTCCCGCCCCCTTGCCCAGGCCTCCATTGTTGAATGTTCTGCAGACCGAGGCTGTTTGTTTCCCCAGCGACATGTGATTGGCTGATTAGATTATATGTCTGGAAACTGTAGAAACAACTCCTTTTCCTTTCCTAAAGAAGCTGCAAAACTGTGAGTTTAACCCTATAAAAACAGGATTTTTTTCCCTTTGCAAAGTAAGCTCAACAGCTTTGATCTGATCCTCTAAAAACTGGGGCTTTTCCCCTTTCCTCCTCTAAAAACTAGGTGCGTTTTATGTTCAGGTGCATCTTATGGAGCGAATAATATGGTATTTCTTGTACGACTGTTGTCCAGAAGTTGGGTTTAGGGGCATTCCCACCACATGTGGAGGTCTATTCCTGTGGAAGTGTAGCCTCTTCAGCATTTTTGTGAGGTTCCTGGGTGTATCAGGGCCAGTTTCTGTGGTGTTCGGTACCATCTGTAAGTGAGTTTCATAGTGAGTTCTTTTCTTTTCACTGATAAGGGAGGTTTAGACCACATTCTAGTCTACCGAGTGGCATTAATTTCATAGCCTATGTCATCTTCCCATAGTTTTTTTTTATTGTGTTGTAATCATATAAATTCTTTAATGAGATTAATTAAATAAACAGGGGCTTGTGTATATAACAGGTCTCCTACATGGGCACCGCCATTACACTTCTTCAAAGGGTTTTGAAAATATTGATAATAAATGAAATGAAAATTAAAAATTAAAATAAAATATGTGGGGGGGGGTTGTCCCTGTCTGCACATCTCCGCTGACAGGGGAGGGCCCATGTGGCATTTGTCTTTCCCCAGTGTGGTCCCCAGAATGTGGTTCCTCACTGGGCCCCAGTCTGCTCTTTTGCGCCAGTTACCAAGGATATTGGCTTGGTGTCAGGCCTGGGCTAGGCTGCACATTCCCTCACAGCCTCCCTGACTTTCTCGGTCCCCTCCTGCCATTCTCACTTGGCAGTGGTGGTGGTGATGGCAGCAGCAGTAAGTTGGAGGCCTCCAGTCTAGGAATTTCATTGGGGCTCTCTTGGTCCTGGTGGGATCAAGATTGTCGGGGTATGGGTGTGTGAGGCTCTGCGCTGCCTCTTCACTTGTCATTTTGGGCTCCCTGGGCTCCCTTTTCATTGCTGTGATGGTGAAGGTGGTGTGGGGACCAGACAAGCAGCTTGGTTGGTTCTGGTGGTCCTTAGGAGTTCAGTGCGGCTATGGCACTCACTATCTTGCCTCGCCAAAAGTCCCTCTTTTTAAAAAATTTGGCTTGCACTTTTTTTCATTCCAGCTTCACTCTTTCTTGCGAAGTATCTCCTTTAACAACAGTGCTGGTGACAGAGTGTCATTTGATGAGAATGGTGAATTAGTATCTGGATTTGATATTGTAAACTGGGTACTTTTCCCAAACAAATCGTTTTTACGAGTGAAAGTAGGAGGGATGGATCCACAGGCTTTACCGGATCAGAAATTCACAGTGAATGAAAAGGCTATCACATGGCACAGAATATTTAACCAGGTGGGATCCAAATATAGAAATAAGATAAAACTTAAATTAGTAACAGGCACAATAAAGAACCATGCCAGGTGATTCCATTCAGTAGAGGAGTCAAACCTTCTGTCTACTTATTTATATGTACATGGAAAATATAAGAGCAAGTGCTAAATGGGAAGAGTTCCAACAATTAGCCTTGATAATTCTTCACACCCTGTTCTATTATTATTCTCAGTAACATATAAGGGGGACTAAATCATAGAGCAGAGTAGTTGACTAAGTGATTATTTTCTCTCTCATTAATTCAGTTATATACTGCCCATATATATTAACACCTCATTATTTAAAAAGTATAAAGGCCAATCCAAATTTTAAAACATTGTAATAAATAAATGTAAGTCAGTGCAAGAGAAGGTAAATTTAAAACTGCTGCCCTACTGTATTATCTTGACAAAATGAAAAAAATGAACAAGGCATCAACTTCCAAGGGTCATTTTCCTAGTGAGCAGATTTTTCTTGTATAATAAAGTCCTGGTGCGATATCCTGGCCATTCTTAGTTCTATGTTAGGAGTTTTCTTAGACACAGCCAAACAGAATTAAGAACAGAATTTGATATCAAAAATGTAAGCTGGTTGTTTCTAGTGTCCTGTATCCTTGCTCTGTTCTTTTCACTGGTTCTGCATTCTCATTCCTAATCTTACTGAAAGGTAGAAGAAACAGCTTGTGAAGAAATCAGCAACTGGCCGATGATGAGCTTGAATCAATTTGTCTGAAAGCCACACATGCAAAATCAATTTCCCCCCTTTTCCCTTTCTATCTATCTAGCATTAATGTACAAAATTCTTGTGGGATTTGATGCTTTTGAATCACTTAAATCTCATTTACCATGGGACTCAATGTTCTCAACAGCAGCATTTTGTGTGTGTGTGTGTGTGTGTGTGTGTGTCTGTTTGTAAAGGTACATCAATTTATTTCTCTTCATTTTTAATGGATAGGTGCTGCCACTTGCCAGATGTAATGATCACTGTCATCCAGGCTACAGCAGAAAAAAGAAGGAGGGAGAGCCATTTTGTTGCTATGATTGCACTCCATGTCCAGATGGAAAGATTTCAGACCAGAATGGTAGAAGACATAGTGACCTAAATGATGGATTGCACATTGAATCCCCTTTTTCTGCTGTCAATATAGTTCCCTAAAACAGAATGTGAATGACAATTGTCTAGTTCTGACATAGATCCATAACATTTTATATCAAGTCCAGATAAAGTGTTTGGTATACTGCAAGATTTCATCACCATTGCCATGCTTTTCTAGAAGGGATTTCCATCTCTTATTTCAAGTCGAATGATGTGTGTGTTTTTGATGTACATCTTGATACAGAACATTCATATCATGGGTGTAGTTGAAATCTCTGGAAGACAGAGATTTGTGCTTCATCCATAGTGATTGACACCACCAGTGTAGTTATACATTGATTTCTCAATGTATACACCTCCCACATGTATGGTTGCAGAGTCTTGTTATTGTTTTACCTAAGAAATATCAAAATATTTTTATATAACTGTAAATACAACAAGAAAGGTCTACTCTGATAGTGTGTGCGTGTATGAATGTGTGAAAGATGAATGCTGAAATGATCTAGCTTTCTTAATCCCAGCTGGATGTTCTGAGACCAAAAGAGCAATGGCACCAATGTAGAGGAAGAAACTTTCAGAAAGTATTCCCATTTACTCTTATTTAATCAGACAGTTCTATGCTGAGTTTGTCATCTTTGATTATTGAGCGATTGATACAAACTTTGTCCCATTTTCAGATATGGACAACTGTTTCCAATGCCCAGAAGGTCAATTCTCAAACCAGAACAAAGATAACTGCCTTCCTAAGACCCTTAACTTTCTCTCTTTCACGGAGCTCTTGGGGACTACTTTAGCCTTCTTTATTTTGTTTTCTTCTCTAATCACAGCTGCAGTGCTGGGGATTTTCATTAAGAACAAGGACACCCCAATCATCAAAGCCAACAATCGGGAGATCACCTACTCTCTTCTCATCTCTCTACTGCTTTGCTTCCTGTGCTCCTTGCTATTCATTGGCCGACCTAACATAGTGACCTGCTATTTAAGACAAACAGCGTTTGGCATCATATTCTCAGTGGCTGTCTCCTGCATTTTAGCAAAAACCATTACTGTGGTTTTGGCTTTCATGGCCACCAAGCCAGGATCCAGGATGAGAAAATGGGTGGGGAAAAGATTGGCCAGTTCTGTTCTTCTTGGCTGCTCCACTATTCAAGCCATTATATGTGCTGTTTGGTTATGTACTGCTCCTCCATTTCCACATTTTGATATGCATTCTCTGACTGCAGAAATCATACTGGAATGCAATGAAGGGTCTGTGACTTTGTTTTATTGTGTTCTGGGGTACTTAGGATTTCTGGCCACTGTCAGCTTCATTGTGGCTTTTCAGGCCAGAAAGCTGCCAGATAGTTTCAATGAAGCCAAGTTCATCACTTTCAGCATGTTGGTCTTTTGCAGTGTTTGGTTGTCTTTTGTTCCTTCTTATTTAAGCACAAAAGGAAAATACATGGTGGCTGTGGAGATCTTCTCCATTTTGTCCTCTAGTGCTGGGTTACTAGGTTGCATCTTTGCCCCCAAATGCTACATAATTATCTTGAGGCCTTCCTTGAACACAAAGGACCAGCTAATAAGGAGGAATATCTAGGGAATTAATTGCATAAAATGATACTAAATGGGGCCATTTTTTCAAACCAAATATATGTACTAACTTCTTCAACTTTTCAAGTCTTCTCCATTGACTGCTTTTGTAAAAAATATCATGATGAAAATGCAACAGATTTACACATCTTGTTGTGTACAAACTGTAAATTACAATTTAAAATAGTGGTTAATTGCCATTGGTTATGAATCTGACTCAATTCATTAGCCATTGTCTGTTGCAAACGATTGTCTGTAATTTGTGCAAAATGCTAAGTCAGCATTTTTGAGGGAGTTCTCCTCTAGGCTATACAGCAGGAGGTGGAAAAGTGATGAAGCATTAAAAGGCCCATAAGAGCAATATCAATTATCTATGGTCATGAAAAATTTACTGGCCAATATGTTAAAATAATACAGCAATGAACCATTTCCTCCAATTTGAAAAAATCCAGTACTAGGTATATTGAAGTGCTAGTTTCATAAACATAAAGTAAGAACTGTTGTTGGGGGCATGAACAGTGATGCTAACTTGTATTTGTGTTTAGAAGAAATATGGGGGGAAAGTTGATTTACATGCATGCTGACGTTTTGTGTTTCTTCATGTATGATAATACTGTATTTCCAAGGACAAATTCAAATTTTCACATAGTTATTACCATAAATAACAAATTCCCCAGATCTACCATGAATTTTCTGTTAGAATCTCAAATTGCAATAAAAATTCTGAATTAAATTAACGTTATTGTTATCATCACCATCATCATCATCATTTTTCACACACAATTCTATCTTTCCACCTGTGATTTAATTTTATTGCCACCATATTGTTCCTTTCCCCATTGAATGAAAGGGTATGATATATGTTTATCTGAGGGTCAGTTTCCCTTTAGTATACACTCCTTGATGCAGATTTTCAGATGCACATACTGCTTTGGTGGAAGAAACACAAGTCTTGATCCTCTGGTTCGAGTAAAGTCTATCCAAGGCTATGTTTATTTAGACATGGCAATTGCATTGCAGAAGACCCACACCCCATCAACCAGAACCTCTTTTAAGCTTATCAATGGGATGTTCTGCCTACATACAGAGCTAACAGCTACTTAAAGGGATGATATCTTTTTCACAACCAGCTTAATAAGAAACCACAATAAGCTAACTTCAGAGGGAAAACACAAGAAAAACAGGATTGCTGAAATCAAAACCGCCAACATTCTGTACTTCCTTTGTACTTTTACCTTCTCTGACACCTTCATGCTAACTTTCTTTTTACATCTAAGAGAAACATGCCCTTAAGATATAATTCATAATTACCTTTGAGTAACTTGTACAAATTTAATTCTTAGGAAGCCATGAAGAACAGAATGATATAATGCTATAACCTGAGGAAACTGTATAAAAGCCTAGTATGTTCTAATCAAAACAGCTTCCTACCATCAAAAACAATTTGCCTTATACTTGCTGGCTATTCAGCTAAAATGTCACTGATCAAATTTTGGACTTATGAATGCTTTGCTACTCAACTGTTAAGATCTGAACCTTGTAACAAAACATGCTTAAGCACTATTTCTTGTCTTAGGCTAATATTTACTTTTGATATTTTTGTCTTATGTATTTATCAATCAAAGTGAACCAAGAATTCAAAGATTTCCCTACTCGAAACTAACATTGAAGAAGTGGTAATCAGTTACAGGCAATGAGCCTAGGACTCCCTAGATGTATATAGTCTTTCTTCTATGTATTACACTTTATATTTGCTTGTTATTTTGGTTTGACTTGGTTTGGCATGTTGTTGTTTTTCGTTTCTTCTGATCATGCTGATTCTATATTCCACATGTCACTTTGTCACGTCAAAGAATCATAGTATTTTAGAGCTGGAAGGGACCACGTGGAACTCCTGCAATGTAGGAATCCTTTGCCCAACATGAGGCTCAAACCCCTGACCCTGAGATAAAGAGTCTCATGCTCTACCTGACTGAGCTATCCTATTATTTCAGGTAATTTATCACTGACCTTTTCTCCCTCTTCTCAGTCTTTCCATACTTTCCAATCCAGCTGTATTATTATTTTTTGTATCTTCTCTTCGAGTTCATTTCTTTCTATTTCTTTCTGTACTGCATAATGCTCATATCCATTCAATTATATGGGCCACATTTTAAATGACATTTATTTTTTTATATTGATTGATTTTAAAATGTTCTTTAATAGTAATTTCAGCTGTATCTCTGATTTTGCTGTTCAAAGAGATCCATTGCTATTGGAGTGTGACTTCAGAGGTGGATTTAGGTTAGTACTACTGGATCCACCACAATGGGCACCAAGCTTAGGGGGCAATGGAATGCATCACAACTAGGAATAGTGTATTGGTGACTGGCTGATAGATTTTACAGAAAGTTGGGTTCAATGTGGCTTTCTTGAGCAGCACATTCACAGTTACCACAGTCTGTCCCACTGTCAAACATCTCTTACCATCAGAAAGTTCTTTGTAATGCTTAGTTGCAATCTCCTTTCTTTTAACTTGAAGCCATTGATTTTTGTTGTACCTTCCAGAGTAGGAGAAAACAAGCTAGTTCCATCTTCTGTGTGACAGCTCTTTAGATATTGAAGGATGGCTATCATATCTCCTCTCAGTCTCCTCTTATCCAGAGCTTTCAACCATCCTGCATTTTTCAGCAATTGGCTTGGAGAAGCCTTACTGCCTCCAACCTTGGAGGCTGTGTATAGACATGACGAGTGGCCATTTTGATCACCTAATTCTCCATGAAGTTGTTTAATCCACTTTTAGAGCCATTCAAGTTACTGGCTATAACTGCCTTCTGTTGCTTGAAACCATGCAGGGTGTGGGCTGGGCTGGGGCCTGCTCTTGTGCTTGAGTCCCACTTGTGAGTTTCCTTCAGGCATCTGGTAGGCCACTGTGGGAACAGGATGCTGGACTAGAAGGGCCATTGGCCTGGCCCAGCAGGCTAATTTTATATTATCTTATGAATATGGGCAGTTCTCTGAATTAACTGTTGTGTAAAGAAGTCAAGGACACTTCAAGGAATAAGAAGAATGGTCCTCTTGTGGATTACAAATTGCTTAAGTTACAGCGAGCAAATAGTAGGAATAAACTGAGAGTTCACCAAATGGACAGATGTAAAAAAATGGTGTCCCCCAAGGATGAGTATTGGGATCTGTGCTTTTTAACATAAATTATCCAGCTCTAGATTAACGATCTAGAACTTTGGAACATACAACCTTAGGAGGCAGCAATGAACACAAATTTGGGTGCCTTTAAAAGAGTAATCCAGAAACTCCAGTAAAACATAAATTATGGTCAGTATCCTAAAACTATCCAGCTGTCATAACAATCAGATAGGCTTGTCTATTAAGTTAGATTAAAAATAAGAATACTTTATTCTATTGTTCAGCCACAAGTAATGTTTTGCACAATGCAATACACTGAGGAGACATTTTTGAAAACTTTGATTATCACAAATTATTAGTTGTCCTCATGCATATTGCCAAATCCCATGTGGATTTTCTCTGATCACAATCACAATAATTAACAAACTCTGAAAGTAGATATTGAATATTCAGTGCTGGGATGTTGGGTGGCATAGAGGCAGGGTGACAGCTGTCAGACTGATCTGTGTGAGATTGCCTTCCTCAGAAAGGGTCGAGAGCCACTGAACAGGCTGGACGTTTATTTTGGATTGATGCTGGGCATTCTGCATGAATATGTGGCTCAAGATGATGGGGTTGTTTCTTTCGCCTCTGCTTCTCTTGTTTCCGCGACTCCCTCAGACTGACTGTGAGTCACATGCTGTTATGCATACCATGGTTGATTCCCCCCACTTCCCACATCAATATTATCAGTCAGGGGACCTAACGATTGGATTTATTGTTACTCAGTATGGCTACTTATCTGATGAACTATCATTCAGGGTACATCCCACAAACGCGTTTCTGGAAGGACTAAAACTTATGTAAGGAGTATGTTTTCTCTGCGTACTTCAGGCCAGGTCATAACTATTACTCCTTGAAAAAAGTGGTTTAAAAATGTCCTTAATGAATTCTGGGTATGTTATACACATATATCAAGAAGTAAGGCTTCGCACCTGCTTGATCTACTCAACAAACCCCGGCTATCTCCTCCATGTTAACACACAGGGTTTCCCCTTCTCATTTCCCCTTTCCAGTTGCATTTCTGAAGCCACTTCTATCTTCTGTAATGTAGCCCTACTTTGCACTGATTCTCACCTTCGTCTTCAAAACCAGGTTTGTGTGTGAGGGGAGGAGAAGCTGCTTTTCTCAGCTAAAGAAGTTTGAGTAAATGGAGGTGAAGTGAGGCTGAGAAAAAAAGTGGTAGTTTTAAAACAAAATGTGGGGAGGGGGGACACCGAGGGATTTTTAATAAATAAATAAATCAAACCAACCACTTTTAGCCAGGAGAAATAGCAGATATGAGTAGAACACAGAAGCTAAGACTGAAAAGCTAACGCAACAGAACTATCCCAAGCTGCCTTTTCACTGCCCTCATAGTTTGTTTTAAACTGCCACTCCCCCCCCCATGTTGAACCCTGTTCAGTCTACTGAATCCTCTGCTTTCTTTTAAAATCACCAGATAGTTATTCTTTGTTCCCTTCTCATTGCACTCAGACTTCTCTGTCTTTCATTCCTCAGCAGCTTTGTGTGTGAGAGATAACTAATGTGGACCTCCCATATATTCCATAGTACTCAAACCTATGTCTTTGGCAATTTTCCTCGCAGTTCGTCCCAACCCTGCTTTATTGAAACTTCTACCAGTGTTTGTTTGTTTTTGTTTTTTTTAAAGATATTTATTAAAATTTCAAAAATACGAAAAGAAGTTACAATAGTAATAATAAGAAAAAGAAAAAAAGGAAAAAGGAATAAAAAAGAAAGAAGAAAATCCAAAATATAAAAAAGTAAAAACAATTAAAAACAAGTCAATCTTTCCATATCTTGTCTTTCCTTCACTTGTTTCCCTGACCTCCTCACACCTCCCCT